TTTCTTTTTTTTAAATACCATGGCCACTGCTCCACATCACCGAATACAACTCTAACTCCTGCAGCGGTTTAGACCAACAGCTCTCACAGTCCGCTGCTCATTAGAGCCATCCAGGGAGCTTCCAAAAAGCCCAAGGACCAGGACATACCCAATACCATTCCATCAAGTCCCTGGAGCTGGGGCCCAAGCATCTCTGTTTAAAAAAAAAAACTCGCAGGTGATTCAATGTACAGCCAAGCGTGAGAAGCAGTGGGTTAGAGCAGTACTTCTTAGACATTAAAGCGCAGAGGAATCTGCTGGGGTTCTCGCTAAAATGCAGATTTGAATTCAATGGGTGGGGCGGGGTGGGGCCTGGGGCTCTGCATTTCTGATAAGCATCCTGGCAGTGCTGATGCTGCTGGTCCGTGGGCCACACGGGGGTAGCAAGGGCCGCAGCACTGAGTTCCGCCTTTGGGCTTCTGTGGAGAATCATCACCATGACGACTACCACACCCGCCTTCTCCTTTCCCTCTCTGCCTTCTTTCCCCTTTTTTATGATCCCTCTTTGTCCTTCACTGTGGCCCACGCCCTCCTCAACGTACGACGCAGGCTCGGGATCCACGCATCCCATCTGCAATCCTGCTGACAGCTTTGTAAAGAAGGCTTCTGAGCCCAGAGAGAATTCAGGTTTGTCTGAGTCTGTCTGATGAAGCCTGGGAGTTTACGAGTCCCTGGGCATCTATTTGCACAGCTGATTTGCATGAAGGCTTTGAGTTTTTTGTGTTTATGCTTAGGCTGGAGGAAGGAACCTGTATGCTCGAGGGGCCTAGAGAGAATGGATGGAGGAAGATACAAAGGCGCTGTGGAGGATATTGTGGTGTCTGGTCCTTGATCTGCCCTGAGGCTCCCAGTCCGGCCTCTTGGAACCGTGGGCATTCTCGCTGAGTCGGAGCTGAACACGATTTAGCTTGTGCCTTGAAGCCCAAAGAGAACCTGCTGTTCACCTTGCTCCTGAAGGGTTTGAGTGTTTTTGATGTTTTTGTTTGTTTAGCTCAGGAAACCATGGAAAGTCAAGGGAGGCAGGCATCTTTTGCAGCCTCTGCCCAGCCTACACTCTACCACCTCCAGTGGCACCCCCTGCCCCACCACCCCACCCCAGTGGCAGGCCTCTGGAGCCATGCTTGTTTCACAACTCTGCTTCTTTTTGGCTGCAGGTGATTGGGCAAGGCTGATCACCTATCCCAGGGGCAGCTAGATCATTGGCTCAGTGAGAAAAAAGAAGAGAGAAACAGATGCTTGCTGACTCAGTCAGCGTGAAGCCTGTAGGCCATGTAGGGGCCGGGCAGTCATCTTTGACCTGTGGGCACAGAGGCATAGCAGATCTGCAGAAAGAGAAGGAAAGTCCACAGGGAGAGGCAGAGATGAGAGACGAGGCAGCCATGGAGAGGAGACCGCAGCTGCCTGGCTTCCTGAGCCCCATCCAGCTGTGCCCGAGGGTCCCGAGAGGCCTGCCTCACTTCCACTGTGGGTTCCATATTGCTCTTCTTGGCAGATGAACTCTAGGGACCTCTCCCAAGAGCCACACATCTTGGTGCTCAGGCTTTGGTATAATCCCCAGCCTCCTTGAGTGTGGGTGGGAACTGTGACTTGCTTGCAACTGAGGGAACTCGGCAGAAGTGATGGGCTGTCGCTTCCGCCATCACACTATGTTTTTAACTCCATCTTGCCAGTGGGGAACTCAAGAGTCTCTCCCCCTGACTGTCTTTGAAGAAGCAAGTGACCATATCGAGGGGCCCATGTGGCCAGGAGCTGAGGGCAGCCTCTGCCTGAGAGCCAGCAAGAAGTTAGGGCCCTAAGTCCTGCAGAGAAAGGAAGTAAATTCTGCCGACAACGTGAACAAGCTCATGAGCAGACTCCCCGAGTCAAGCACCCTCCAGGTGAGAAGGCAGCCTGGCTGGAACCTTGATGGCACTCTTGCAAAACCCTAAGAGGAGGACCCAACTAAGCCATGCCTGGACTCCTAGCCCACAGAAACTGTGAGGTTACTAATGCGTGTCCTCTTAACCCTCTAAGCTTGTGGTATTTTCTTAGACAATGGAAAACTCATCTGCTGCTGGGTCTTATCCGTTGCTTTTACACAGGTAAGTTTCTGTGGTTTGCAACCTAAAGACTCTTGGCTGAGACAGGAACACCAAGCCTGGGCTGGTATTCTCCCAGAGGAGCAAGCCCGGCCAGAGGAGCAGTGATGGGGGCTTGAGCCACCACAAGGCCTGACTGAGAACAGCAGCGGCTAGAGGGCTCCAACTCCCTGGAAGTATCAGGAACTCCCTGGAGACCCCCAGAAATACTTGGGGTAAGGAAGGAGGAAGGCCGGTGTGGACAGGTGGGGCCTATGAGGCCAACAGAATTTGGGTATGTGGTTTCGTTTCTACATGTCCTGCTTGGACTTCACTGTAAATCTGTGTCTTATCAAATGTAGGACATTTGAGGCCATTATGTCTTCAAATATCTTTTCTGCCCTGTTCACTCTCTCCTTCTTAGACTCCAGTTGGATACATGTTAGACCTTTCTATTGTCTTGCTTGTCTCTGAGGCTCTGTTCTCCTTTCCTTTCCCTTGAACAGTTTTTCTCTCTCTTCTTCAGATGAGATTATTTCCATTGATCTATCTTCAAGTTTCCTGACTCCTTTGTTAACTCAATTCTCCCGTTAAGCTCATCCAGTGAATTTTTGTTTCAGATATTTTATTTTTCAGCTCTATATTTTCTATTTGATTCTTTCTTATAGTTTCTGCTTCTCTGCTGAAATTTCCTATCTTTTCATTTGTTATGAGCAGTTTTTACATCCTTGGGCATGATTATTGTGATGATTATTGGTATGTATCAAGCTGACTGGGCTAAGGATGCCCAGATAGCTGGCAACAAATTCTTTATGGGTGTCTCTGTGAGGGTATTTCTGGGAGAGATTAGCATTTGAATCAGTAGACTGGGTAAAGAAGATCTGCCCTCACCAATTGAGCGTTGTTCAATCCATGGAGGGCCCAATAGAACAAAAAGGTAGAGGAAGGATGAATTTGTGTTCTCTGAGCTGAGACATCCACCTTCTCCCATCCACAGACTTTGATGCTCCTGGTTCTTGGACCCTCAGAATGAATTATGCCACCACCTTTCCTAGTTTTCCAGCTTCAGACAGTAGATCATGGGACTTCTCAGCCTCCATAATCACACGAGCCAGTTCCTAGAATAAATCTCTCTCTTTCTACATATACATGTAGAGATATGCGTGTGTGTGTGTGTGTGTGTGTATACACACACATATAGACACACATACACACACTCATATATATACACACATATAAACAGCCTATTGGTTCTGTTTCTCTGCAGAATCCTGACTAATCCAGTTATAGTAGCTGTTTTTAAATCCTTATTAGCTTACCCTCTGGGTCATGTCAGTCAGTCTCCATTCTTGAGAATTCATCAGCTTAAAAACACATTTTTGTATACTGTGTACAATTTTGAATGGCTGCTTAGACTTAATAAATATTTTGTTGTAGAGACTCTGTATTCCCCAAAGAGTGCTGGATTTTTGGTTTTAGCAGGCAATTGGTATGGACTCAAAGTGCAAACCCTGTCACTCGCAGACCTGGTTAAAATGTGGTGGCAGCTCAAATCTCAATTTAGTTCTTTTATCCTTAGCTGAGCTGCTTTGAGTTTGCTCTTGTGTATGTGGTATAGAGGTCAGATAGCGATATGGGCATAGTTTATACACAAAATTTGGACTCCCTTTCTCTTTCATAGCCCCTCACTTTGCAGGGGTTGTGTGTGCCCCAAACTCTCTGGCTCTTCAAGTCAGAAAGAGTCCAGTGTTTCCACTCACTGAAGCCTACCTTCTGGCTAAAAAATTAAAAATAAAGAAGGTGGGTGATGGAAAACCCATCTACCACTATTTCCTTCTTCCAGGCATCAGATCTCTCTAGAACGCATCTTGCTTTTGGTAGCTTTTCGATGCCATCAGCTGGTTGATTTTTCTCTTTAGTTTGGAGCTTTATAGTTGCTCTCTGCAGGAGTGACAGTATGATAGGAGTTTACTCAGCCATTCTCAGGAGGGGACTCTGATTTCTTGTGTGATTATTGAATGCTGAACCTGAGGATATAACGGGGTATAAAATTATTACTAAGTCCTTTTTACAGATGAAAAAGCTGAGGCCTCATAGGTCCATCTGGCTGAAACGTCTTCTGCTGTCTTCTATCCCCATCCACTGGGGTGAGGTATAAATGAGATGGAGTCCACCATTGTGGAGACCGGGGAGGAGCTGGCAGGAAAGGAAGGCAGGTGAGATGCGAATGAGCAAGTCTAAATGTTCAAGTCCTTTGAGGCCAAAGAGTGATCAGGATGCACTAAAGCCTTGCACCTGGTTTGTTTCAAAGCTTCTCGAGACTTCTTTCTTTCCTTTTGATTCCTTTTGAGAATTCCCTTGCATCCCAGCTATGCTGCACGGACATTTGCCTGGTGAAGAGGAGGACTTAGCAGAGATTTTGACAACCCAGGACAGAGTCAGGGACCAAAATATGTCAGAGGACCTCAGAGATTATCTCTCCCTATCCCCTCACTTTACAGATGAGAAAACTGAGCCCCCAGAAAGGTGAAATGATTTGTCCAAGATTGTCCAAATTTTGTTAACTTCTCATCCAATGCTCCTTCTGCCAAATAGGCATAAATCCTTTACATGCAATGTGGTCCTCTCTCTCTCTCGCCTGCCCACACACCACGCACTACCACCAAATATCAACGCCAGTGACCCCATTGTCCTCTGATGACACGGAGGGCAGTCTATCCATTGCTGCTGTCATTCTCAATCATTCTTTTTACTCCATGGTACGTGCAAAACACGACACATACCCATAGATACCCAAGCAAACCCCAGCTTACGCCATCCATCAATGAACTGATGATGGAGTCGATATGGTATGTTCTCTCTGGCCCTTCCACCCCTCACCCCTCAGTCCCCCACAGCACCTACCGTAGATGCGAAAGGCGTACTCAATCTTCAGGCTGGGGCAGGCCTGCTCACTGAACACAGACGCCATGCCCAGCACATCCTCAAAGGAGAACATGCCGTTGTGGGAGAATACTCTGCAGATACGGTCTCTGAAAGGGTTGACCTGTGGGCAAGGGGAGGAGGAGGGAGGAGGTCTATCAGGGTCAGGGTTGTGTCATCCCGGGCCTCTCTCATCTGTCACAAACACTATATCCTGGGTTTCAGATGAAAATGACAGCCACAACCTAAATATCGGAGTAGATAGTAGCTCACTGAGCCAGGCCCTGGGCATGATGGGGTGCCGGCGATGACTCTTACAGATGGATATGTGACTTCACAAGATTCCTGCAAGGATGCCACCATTGAAGATAATGCTTTTAACGCAAATGCAAATGAACAAAAGCATGTCAGAGCTGAAACCTCTCCTACTCTAAATATGAGTCCTGCTCTATGGGGTAGAAACCATGAGAATTCAGGCACACATAACAAGAAGACCCTGCATCAATTTTCTCTCCCCATGCTCAGGCAGATACAAGGCAAGTCAACAGGCTCACTACCTAAGCGCAGAGCCAGCCAGGGAATGAGACACCAAGCTTCCTTCCCCTGCAGACCTCCCCTTGTCTTTGCTGGTAGTGATGGGAGGGAGGTGGCTGCCAGGACACCCATACACTCCTTAGATCCATGTCACATGACTCATCTACACACACACACACACACACACACCCCTCATGTCTTATAGAGACTGAAAACAGGGCAGTTGATGTGGCAGCTGCTGGTGGCAAGAATAGTACCTACTACACAGCATGTGAACATGCTGGAAGGTGCAGAGGAAATATTGCCAAAGATACAGAGAAATGAGTCTTCAAACAAGTTTTACACTGGGAAAGCTTTGCTAAATAGTTAAATAGAAGAATAGATCTTCTAATGTGATTTTCTTTGATTCTGTATGTGAAAAACCACATTTCTTTGAGCCACTGAAGGAAAAAGAGATATGGACTGAATAGTAAATGAATGTCTTCAACGAAAACACCATGGCTGGGGAAAAGTGAAGGTACTCTTGGGCATGAGGGGTGGCTGCTCCCTGATGGAAAAGTATTCTGGGGTGATGCTGCAGGATGCCAACACATTCCAAAGACCTCCCTAAAGAATTTCCTGCAGGCTACTGTAGTCAGGAAGGTAAGCCCAGAAATACCCAAGTACAGCAGAATGCATTGAAAAGGTTCTCTTAAAAAAAAGTTAAAATATAGTAAAACTTGGCCAGGTTTGGTGGCTAACACCTATAATCCCAGCACTTTGGGAAGCCGAGGCAGGTGGATCACCTGAGGTCAGGAGTTCAAGACCAGCCTGGCCAACATGGAGAAACCCCGTCTCTACTAAAAATACAAAAAAAATCAGCTGGGTATGGTGGTACATGTCTGTAATCCCAACTACTCAGGAGGCTAAGGCAGGAGAATTGCTTAAACCCAGGTGGCAGAGGCTGCAGTGAGCTGAGATCACGCTATTGCAGTCCAGCCTGGGCAAAAAGAGAAAAACTCCATCTCAAAAAAAAAAAAAAAAAAGAGCAT